TATACCCAGCATCGTTTCTATGCAATACGAGTTTGGTTGTTTTTCTTTATTAAAATAATGTATATATTTTTGTGGGGGGTAGTCCATCGTTAAAGACGATGACGTCTCTATTTGGTTTTAATTTTTGGTATGGGAACGTTTTAGGTTTTCATACTCGTTGTCATTAATGACTTTTCGGCCCTCTCTCAAAATTAGGGCGTTTTCCATAAAGTAGACATGGAAGTCAGTCTTTTAGAGCCGGAGATCATTATACTTACCTGATGTTCCCGTTCAAAGCAAAATTCTAGACATGGCGTGGGCTAACTAGAAATATCCAATAGCCCGGTGAATGGTAGAACGCCAAGATGAGCTGTTAACTGCAAGTGTCTCAAGTTGGTATATTTGTAGCCAAATATTGAAATCTTTTCAATGTGGATACTGCAAAACCATTAATGAATTAGAAATACAAGACATAATGTCACCATTATCCATTATCTACAACTTATTTAAAAAGGCTGATAAGATTATATGGTAATCATTAACATACGTTCACGTTATCGTTGCCTATTCCACAAAAAAAGTTAATTCTCACACGTACATTGCACTATACAATAATGCCTTCCATACTAAAAAAAAGTTACACAAAAAATTTATTCGTAAATTATTTTAACATTCATGCAATTTTACGAAGGAGTGCGACATCATGGAGTCAATGAAATGTGGAAAGGGGTAAATGAATTTTTTTTGGTGAAATAAGAAACAAAATACCATAAAGATACAAAATTCAGAATAAAAATGCATTACAAGGATTAATTTTGTTTTGTTTTGTTTTTGTTTTTTTTTTTTTTTTTTTTTTTTTGTTTTTGTTTTTTTTTTTTTTTTTTTGTTTTTTTTTTTTTTTTTGTTTTTGTTTTTTTTTTTTTTTTTTTTTTTTTGTTTTTTTTTTGTTTTTGTTTTTTTGTTTTTTTATTTTTTGTTTGTTTTTGTTTTTGTTTGTTTTTTCAAAAATTGTTTGTTTTTTTTTTTTTTTTGTTTTTTTTTTGTTTGTTTTTTGTTTTTTAGTTTTTTTTTTTTTTGTTTGTTTTTGTTTTTTGTTGTTTTTTTTGTTTTTTATAATTTTTGTTTTTGTTTTTTTTTTTTTTTTTTTTTTTTTTTTTTTTTTTTTTTTTTTTTTTGTTTTTTGTTTTTTTTTTTTTTTTTTTTTTTTTTTTTTTTTTTTTTTGTTTTGTTTTTTTTTTTTTTTTTTTTTTTTTTTTTTTTTTTTTTTTTTTTTTTTTTTTTTTTTTTTTTTTTTTTTGTTTTTTTTTTTTTTTTTTTTTTTTTTGTTTTTTTTTTTTTTTTTTTTTTTTTTTTTTTTTTTTTTTTTTTTTGTTTTTTTTTTTTTTTTTTTTTTTTTTTTTTTTTTTTTTTTTTTTGTTTTTTTTTTTTTTTTTTTTTTTTTTTTTTTTGTGTGTTTTTTTTTTTTGTTAATTTTTCTTTTTTTTTTTTTTTTTTTGTTTTTATTTCATCTTTTTTTTTTTTTCTTTTTTTTTCATTTTTTTTTTTGAAGAAAATATTTTTTTTTTTTTTTTTTTTTTTTTTTTTTTTCAACATTTTTTCTTTTTTTTAAATAGAACGTTTTTCTGTTGTTAATTTTTTTTTTTTTTTTTTTCTTTTTTTTTTATTTTTTTCAAACTTATAATTTCAAGAATGGGTTTTTTTTTCTTTTTTTTTTCTTTTTTTTTCGTTTTTAAATTTCCTTTTTTTTTTTCCGGGAAAGAGTGACCAATCTTTTTTCTTTCCAATTTTTTTTACTGTTTTTATATATTTTTTTTTTTTTTTTTTTTTTTTTTTTTTTTTTTTTTTTTTTTTTTTTTTTTTTTTTTTTTTTTTTTTTTTTTTTTTTTTTTTTTTTTTTTTTTTTTTTTTTTTTTCTTTTTTTTTTTAATTTAAATATGACATAAAATATCTGTCTTGTCACATATGAACCAGTCTAATTTAATTCTATGCAGAATTTTAACTTCTATCTACGGATACATCATATAAGTATATAAAAGTAATGGAATGAAGAAAGTCTTCAAAAATGTTTATACTTTTATCAAAACTTACTTTAAAAAAATATACTTCTTACCTAAAATATTAAACATAATTTCTAGAGCAATAGGTGAAGATTTTACTGGAATTTCGTTTTGATTTGAAGATTCATTAAAATGTCATTCCGTGGAATAAGCGATTAAGTTTTAGTTAAATGGAATTTATAGACATGCGATTGACTTGATAGTTCTTAAATAAATATTTAATTACTCTGTTGAATATCATTTCTCAATTCGGGGTTTGCTTTTTTTTTTGTTTTATTCAGTCTATATTCTTCTAAACTGTAAAAAATTACCACAATGTATGTTCAAAAAAAAGTACCGCTTGTGTACAACAGTTAATTTCAGTCTTGGTTGGCAATCAGTCTAGGAGAAGGAAAATTCTGTTTTGTAGGTCTGCTTCTTTAACTTCTGAGAAGCGGGATAGTGTAACCTCAATATCGCCGGTGTAAAGCGAATCCGTAAGCCCTGAATGTCACCATGAACCAATGAGATGGAGGGGAGTAGTGACCACAGCGGCGCAATATGCGCTTTTTGAATAAGTGGAGACATGTTTATATTACAGTGTAACCCGGATATAAGAGATTTTCTCTGGTCCCAAATTCGAGCCTGTGTTAATCTATATAAAATAGACCAAACCCGGATATAAGAGATTTTCTCTGGTCCCGACAACTCTCTTATATGCGGGTTACACTGAAAGTGTAGCTATGTGAGGGTTACCAAAATTAGTCCCCGAAAACACCATTAGCACTTTTTGTTAATGTATTGTCTTAGAATCTATTTCTCACTCATTCACACAAAAAATGCTGTCATAAAATGAAATAAAGATGATGGAAGAATAGTCGGTTTCTTGTACCACTCCAGTAAGTACCTGACTCCACTTGCTATCTCTACTTTTGCAAGAGTCAGATCAGGCCGAAAACGTAGTACTGCTGCTCTATATGAGAAGGAGCTGCCCAGTTTTCACTTTCCAATCTTGAAAGCCCAAAATCTTCTCTTCGTCCTTGTGGGTGATGAATTGTTTTCCCCCTCGCAACTCCTTTCTCTACAGACGAAACGTGGCAAGACTCTCGCTACCATATAATTATTTCTATGAAAATTGTTCAGCCGAAATACATGCCTGAGTTCCCACCAGTTGTAACCTTCACGGCTAAGACCACGACACGCCACAGACATTGTAGTGAACCACCCCCATTCCCTTCATTTTTCCATTGGTGAGATGTAAGTACCACTCGAGCAGCTTCGTGGGACCTACTCCCAAGAGGATGTTTTCCCCAATCACTACAATCTTAACCTGTTCAAGTCTAAGGTTAACCCGCATATCCTCATAAACTCTGCCTTTTACTCTGTGACCCTCTACGTCTTGTGCCTTGTACAGAATGAATATTTATTGTAGAAAAATCATTTCTCCTATAAATCAAGCTCAGATGAGTTCACTAATGACGAAAATGTTTTTGGGTCGTAAGATGTTCAACTTAATATAGTTTAATGCTTACATCTATCTATATCTCTGAGATGAGGTATTATGATTATTTACATTATTCGTACTGTTATCATCATCTTCATAGCCATATTCACAACGTTTCGGCCGATGTCCGCTCCGGCCTTCTTCAGGTGATTGGAATTTCGAACCGAACCCTTTATTTCGTCCACCGGCTTAGATTGTTCTAGTTCCACGCACAATGCCTCTTCTGGATGTCTCACTTATTTTCCCTTTAACTGAACTCTCCAAGTTTTTTGGTTCACCACTGCTGTAGCCTGTTATTGAACTAACAACACTGGATCTAACCAACGTCCTTATCCACTGGGCCATGTGTCCTTGAAGAAGGTCGGATCGTACAACGGCCGAAACATTGTGAATATGGCAATGAGGATAAGGATAACAGTCCGAATAATGTAAATAAAGTTTGCACGAAGACTAAACTGAATCTAATGAGGGTAAATTCTGTTCGTGGGCGTATCGTCCACGAATAAAATTTCTTCTATAATCGACCACTTAGCCTGACCATAAATATCCGAGCTCTTCGGCTTAGAAATAAGTCTTCAAATAAATTGTGTTCTCCGCCAACCTGCACTCAGTTACGTATACAACGCACCTGGAATGACTTTACTTATCTCCGATATATCATATCCGCTGATGCCAAACTAGATTAGATTGTATTGTTAAAAGCAAACCAAGCCTATGGGAGACTTCCAAACAAATATAGACCACCAAAAATATTAGGAAAACTAGAAGATATTCCTATACATGAGCAGTGGAACGAGAACAGTCTATACCCGTAGATTAAATAACTGGTTCAATTTTGAATTGTCCGTAGGTTACTGTTAGGATGTTAGTAGAGACAAACGCCAAATAACACGTAACAATAAAAAGGGTTTTAATAGGTTGGTAAAAAGGTACAGAAATCGCCTGAGTAGTCAATAACTAGCTCAGCTAAGAACTTCTCTGTCTATCTTCCCCATGTCAACTGACATGCCACTATTTAAAGTCTTTGTTCACAGACGCAGACAAGTTCATCTTCAAGAGGGGTGGTGGGTTTCCGACACAACATTTACCCAGATCGATGAAGGCCAGGGGTGTGGTACAACAACAAAAACGAGGACACTATTCAGAATCGTGTAAATAATATTAAATTTAAAGCCTATAAAGTCATCATGCTACGCGTCATCTTAGTTAGGGTCGAATCTTGGGTGTTGGTCCTCGAAAGCTTCAGCCAGTGTTGTCTACACGCCATTCCTCGGCGCCTTCAACAGTAAAATATTGTCTTAGCACGAGAGGGGGCGCCAAGAAAGTATTGCAAAAAGAAATACCTTCATTTTCTGCAGGATCGACCAACGTAAATAGGCTATAAAGAGCGAAAACGGACGTTCCTGGCGCCACAATATTTTCCAATATTTCCAACCGTTCTCAGTGATTTAGTACAGAGACTCAGCGTGGTGGGCATCACGTTGAGACACAGGTTTCCATATGATCACCGAAGTTAAGCAACATCGAGCCTGGTCAGTATCTAGATGAGTGACTCTTTGGAAATAGCAGGTGTTGTAGGCTTAGATGTGCGGTTTGTGTAATAGATAATGGCTTGGAATTGTTAATCTGGATTCGTTATATTCATTATGGAAAAGGTGTAAATCCATCTTTTATCCCCTTAGATATGGGTTAATTAGTAAGACTTGTATCATTAAAACAATTATCTTTTTTTTAAAAAAAATTGCGTGCAAAATATTTATTTCAGCATTAAATAACCCATGAAATTTGATATACAGTGTAACCCGGATGTAAGAGTTTTCGGGACCTGAGAAGTCTCTTATATCCGGGTTTCTCTTATATCCGGGTTTGGTCTATTTTATATACATTAACACAAGCTCTAATTTGGGACCAGAGAAAATCTCTTATATCCGGGTTACACTGTACCACTAAACAAACCAACCAACCAATCAGGGTGAAGGCATGAACTTGGTGACCTTTCCAGCCCTCAAATCCCATGTCTAAATCCATTAGGGAGGTATATCTCTCTGTTTCAGATTCATCCAGTCGCTGTTAGACCTAACCTGCTCTCTACAGACCCCTCTGGTAGACCAATTTTTCTTCCATCAACGTAGTTGATGTTTACTTCCAGGAGAGTGACTCGTGCTTTCTCGGGATAACGTAAAGTGGAAAGACTATATTGAATCCATTGCTAGGTCAGCAGCCAGGAAGGTTGAAACACTGTGCCGTGCAAGACGTTTTTTTCTCTCCAGAGTCTCTTGCACATCTATAAGTCCTGCCGTCCGTCCATGCTTAGAATATTGCGGCCACTTATGGTCTGGCGCTCCTGGTATATATCTATAGATCCTTGATAAACTCCAAAGAATTAACATAATTGGTTCCGATCTGGCGTCTCGACTTCTGTCACTTTACCACTGCCATTTTACCACTGTCATAAGGTCGCCTCCCCGTGCCTTTTCTGTAAATACTTTCATGGCAAGTGTTTTGGATGAACTATTCACCATGGTATGCTCATTGGCCCCTTTTATTTCTGTTCCTATTTTTCTTTGGTTTAATTCCCCTTCCTCGTTAAGTGGTCAGTGATGTCAGTACTCTGGTAGATTCGGGGCGCCTTTCGTTTCAAGTGTGATTTTCGTATTTGTGGTTGTCTGAATGAGTGAGTGTTTGGGATGAATGATTCTTTTTATATTATTCAAGTACCGCATTAATTTCGTCCAATTAACTGATGTTTTTGCCACAGTTAAGCATTGTGATTTTTTTTTTTTTTTTTTTTTTTTTTTATTACTAAAACTATTTTGTTTAGTTTCTTGTATATAGTTTTGTTCATTTTCGTAAATATTCATTGGGGGTTAGATTTTTTAAATTATTTTATCCCCGCCCCCAGACAATGGATTACTGTACTGTATTGATGCGGCATTCACCCTGGGCGGATTGAACCGGCTTCTTCCTGTTATGAGAAGATTCTTGGGATAAATTACAGAAGTAGGGTACCCAGGCCTACTCGGATAACGTTCTTGCTTGCCGCGGGGTTCCCACAGACGCAGAGACAGGAACGACCAGAAGCCGCCGGTTACCGATGCAGACGCTCCTTGGATTTTCACCAGAGCCCTTGTTAGCCGGCGTGTATGTCAAACCTGTCTGCCTTGGGTGGCCCTACCAGGAACGAAGTTCCGGGCGGCATATCTCTGACACTACCGTTTACACCCTCCCACCGACTGTGAGGTAAGGGTTGGACTTTGGGGGCTTACAGTACCAGGTGTTCCCAAGCGGTCCCCATCTAAGTACTGACCTGGCTCTACGATGCTTAACTTCGGTGATCGAACGAGAACCGGTGTTTCAGCGTGATTTGACCGTAAGCAGACAATGGATTGTAAATATGTAGACTAGTTAGGACTTTCATAGAGACAATGAGGTATTATGGTGAATGTAGTAAGAAAGGTAAGTAAGAATGCGTTGTTTTGGTGTTAGGAATATTGTATGTTTGAGTCAGTGTTTGTGGCTAGTTAAGTTTGATGTTAAGACAGATGAAGACCGTCTTTTCCCCATTTTTGGCCTTGTGCCACACTTTCTATTTTTTTACAAATAAATATCGCTCTTCTCTAGTATTATTTTTAGTTTCTTGTAAATGGTCTTGTTCATTTTTGTAAATATTCATTGGGGTTAGATTTTAAATTGTTTTATTACCCCCACCCTACCCCGGAAATGAATTCTACATATGGGGACTAGTTAGGACTTTTATAGATACAATGAGGTATTATGTTGTTTGTAGTTAGAAAGGTAAGTAAGAATGCGTCGTTTTGGTGTTAGGAATATTGTGGTATGTTTGGGTCAGTGTTTGTGGCTAGCTAAGTTTAATGTTAGGACAGATGAAGACTGTCCTTTTGTCCCCTTTCCTCTTTTGGCATTGTTATTTTCTGTACAGAGCAGGAATATCGCTCTTCGCAATGGTACCCAGACTTTATAAATTTAAGCTTAGCTCTAGAGTGGCAATGATGTCTCATCGATATATAGTTGAGTTGGCTATATGAAATCGTAGGTTCTATATTAAGTTTTTATTTCTTGCTTGTGGAACTTCCTTCCAACAGTGCTTTCCAGTCAGCTTTAATCTTCAAAAATTTCAATGCAATGTCAATCGCTATCTGCTGTACTCCTGATTACTCTTCTTTTGTTTTTGCTACTTAGTAGTGTTTCGGTTTCCCAATTCTTCCAAACCCCTTACCTTTGTGGCTTTAATGCCTTGCCTGGGGTGAACTTGATTAAAAAAAAACAAAAAAAAAACTGTGACGCGCCTTCCTTAAACATCATTCGTCAGGCAACGTCCTGATAGATTCTAAATAGACGAATGATGACCAAATCGTCAACATTAAACCGAAGTAGTTTACCGACAATGGTCGTTTTATTTCAATACAACGCATTCATTTCCTTAAGGCATGAATTCGATTCTCCCTGTGTTCTGTCTCCTCGCCAAGAAGAGCGAGCGTTCACTTGGTCAAACCATCCTCCTATTACCTACCTCACTAGGCTGACTGATGTCGTCCACGGTCAAACTTGTTGGGTTTACGTGTATGCTCGAAAAATACGCGTCTTTTAATTCTAATCATTTTTTTAAACAAAGGGAGTCTATTCGTAATGTTTTCGTTGTCAAATATCTGATGCTATAAATATATTAATTTTGTAATGGCAATATTCCAGACCCAAGAGAAATACAATTGGCGTTTAATGACCCACATAAATTTTGATGAGTCGTAAAAAAGATAGTTAATATTCTTCGTTAATTTAATGTTTGCGATCAAAATGATAATGCTGTATGAAATATTGACTTTCAAGATGGTATTATCAATAAAGAAGCTTAAGATTTCTCAAGAGTCCATTTTGAATAGTGTAATCCCCCCCCTTATATCGATTAATTACTCTCGTGAAATAGTTATCCGTTATTCTAAATTCTCCTCTGGTGATGATGTTCAATGACGATTCGTCTGTTTTTTTATTATTATTATTATTTTTTATTATTATTATTTTTTTTTTCTTCTGTATTCATCACGAGTGGCTATAAAAAGAAGTTTAATATTATTCTCCACAATGCTTGCTTTAAATAGACGTTTGCAACTCTCCAAAAATATTCACACTCGATTATATTTTAAAATTTTTGCGTAAAGTCGTAAATATTGAATTTAGCATTTTACACAAATACATCTTGTCTGGTTTAACTTTTTTTTCCTCCTTCTTCTGACTTCGCATAATGTCATCAATATTAGATTTTAGAATTTTTGATTTTCGTTTCTCTTGATTTGTTATTGAACAATTGTTTATATAACACGTGATTTTAAAGTAATGGTTCCACATACAAGGCGAAAAGCTAATTATATATCATCCCCGTTTATAAAATTCGCGTTTTTTCGTTTTATACTCCACATATTGCTGTGACTAATACCTAGTTTCCAGTAATTGTATTGAGTGTCAGAAATTTCCATTTTTCTCTTCATTTACAACAGCAAATAAATGACGTTAAAACTATTAATGTCTATTTTAATTTATTCTAATTATCACATACTTTCAAATACTAAAAACTTTCAGGGATTTTGTAACAACCAAAGGCCTCTCTGATGTGGTTTTACGGCAACCGAAGGTCTACGTCTGTCTGTAGTGATTTTGTAGCAACCGAAGGTCTACGCCTGTCGGTCTAGTGGTTTTGTAGCAACCGAAGATCTCTATCTATCTCTCTCTCTCTCTGTCTTTCTGTCTAGTGGTTTTGTAGCAACCTATTTAATTTCACTGAATACAAGGCTCGAGAGTCGCTCAAGGTAACGTACTACAATCAAGAAAATCATTATGCTAAATCATTATGCTAAATCAACCGTGATCTAAATGGAAGTGAAGATGACCGTAGATTAAAAAGAAATATTTTCGCTTGAAGAGGTCAACATTGAAATCTTCAGGGTAGCAGCCACGTGAGTCCTTTCTACAAATTGTTAGTTCTTGATTGGTATACAAAAATCTGAGTAGAATTTTGTTTTTAGATTATTGACTATGGAGGAAATGAGGGTAATTCGATTCCGTGGAAGTGGCAAGGTGTGTCCTATGCGCGAAGTAGCGGGATTACAATGAATGGAACTCCTCCGAACAGTTGCCTTATAAATAACGACTGTCTTGCAATATTGCGTCCGTCGGAAAAGAGTGGAAAAATATATCATTTCTCAAAAGACCACAGAAATGTTGAATTCTACCAAGCCTGGCAAATTAAGATCAAGGCTACAGGCCAGTTATGTTCTTACTTCGCAGTTAGAGCGAACTCACAAGAAAGGTCAGATGCGAAATGGCGTTCTACAGAAGGATAATGAGAATATTATGGACCGAATATGTGAGCAATAATGAAGTTTTGGAGAAAATCTATACGAAAATTATATTTGTACTTAACATCAGAAAGAAACACTTGAAAATTCTAGGACACATCGCAAGGAAAGAAGGCTTAGAAAATTTGACTCACACGGGATGAAGGCAAGGGGGACAAAGGAAAACAACGCATAACCTACCAAAAGCTTTTGTAAATGGTTGGTGGAAGAGGGATAAGGAGCAAGGGAAAAGGCGACTTACTAAGAGCTACATAGGATAATAAATTGTGGAGAGCCACAAACGGCCATGTCTTGAAGGGACAGGGCACATAGAAGAATTATGAATACTAAAAAGACTACATTGTTTGACGTATCATTTGAAAAAAAAAATCAATCTTTTCTCAACGACTTATTTGACACCTTACAGAAAAAATGCGTCTGATTGGATAATTTCTTTTTTTTTTTTTTTTTTTTTTCACTTGAAGGCAATTTTGAATATTGTCTTCTGTGAAAGAAAAAAACATAAGACTTTGATTTGATTTGTTGTTTTTTGTCTCCATTTAAAAATTGTCAGATAGAAAAGGTTTGATTTGGTATTTTCTTTCTGTGCACCGTGTTTTATGATTGTGATTCTAAAGTGAAGAAAGATAATAGTCAATTCAGCGACGTTTATCTTTTTACGTAATTCTACTTACGTCTTTTCTTTTTCTTCTCTCTTTTTTTTTTCTCTCGCTTCTTCTATCTTTTTTTTCTCTCGTCTCTTTATTTCTCTCGTCTCTTTATTTCTCTCGTCTCTTTATTTCTCTCGCCTCTTTATTTCTCTCGCCTCTTTATTTCTCTCGCCTCTTTATTTCTCTCGCCTCTTTTTTTTTTTTCTCTCGTCTCTTTTTTTTTTCTCTCTCGCCTCTCTTTTTTCTCTCTCGCCTCTTTTTTTTTTTTTCTCGCCTCTTTTTTTTTTTTTCTCTCGCCTCTTTTTTTTTTTTTTTTTTTCGCCTCTTTTTTTTTCTCTCTTCTTTTTTTTTCTTTCTCTCTTTTTTCTCTCTCGCCTCTCCTCTTCTTTGTTTTTGCTCGCCTCTCCTCTTCTTTGTTTTTGCTCTCGCCTCTTCTCTTCTTTGTTTTTGCTCTCGCCTCTTCTCTTCTTTGTTTTTGCTCTCGCCTCTTCTCTTCTTTGTTTTTGCTCTCGCCTCTTCTCTTCTTTGTTTTTGCTCTCGCCTCTTCTCTTCTTTGTTTTTGCTCTCGCCTCTTCTTTCTTTTGTTTTTTGCTCTCTTCTCTTCTTTGTTTTTTCTCTCTTCTTCTTTCTTTGTTTTTGCTCTCTTCTCTTCTTTGTTTTTGCTCTCGCCTCTTCTTTGTTTTTGCTCTCTTCTCTTCTTTGTTTTTGCTCTCTTCTCTTCTTTGTTTTTGCTCTCTTCTCTTCTTTGTTTTTGCTCTCTTCTCTTCTTTGTTTTTGCTCTCGCCTCTTCTCCTCTTTGTTTTTGCTCTCGCCTCTTCTCCTCTTTGTTTTTGCTCTCGCCTCTTCTCTTCTTTGTTTTTGCTCTCGCCTCTTCTCTTTTCCCTGCTTCTCCTCTGTACTCTCCTCAGGAAACACTGCATTCATTTCTGGAATATGACGTTATTATATACGTACTGAATAATTTCCTTATTTTTGTTGCTTTCACAACTTTTCGGTCGTTGCGTTCTCTAATCTTCAACAAGTGTATGCCAATCTGAATGATATACAGGGAATTCAAAGTGATTCCTTTACTTAATCTGCGGGTAGATAGATTATCATTCAACGGGTATCTCGTCAACTACTTATTTAGTATTGTTTTTGCTCACTCTCGTTTCCACCGAGCCCAAGTACATAGGGCAAAAGCCAATAGATTAAAGCGTTGTTTTGTCAATTTGGTGACATCGTATTTGTGTGTTCAATCCCTGTACCGGGCAGTTTTGTATGGGTCCACCTACGGCTTTTGTCCAATGTTCTTTTTTATGCGTAAATCCTCGCCCAGCCACCTCCGGCCTTTGTCCATTCACATTTTGATATATA